GTGTGTGTGTGTGTGTGTGTGTGTGTGTGTGTGTGTGTGTGTGTGTGTGTGTGTGTGTGTGTGTGTGTGTGTGTGTGTGTGTGTGTGTGTGTGTGTGTGTGTGTGTGTGTGTGTGTGTGTGTGTGTGTGTGTGTGTGTGTGTGTGTGTGTGTGTGTGTGTGTGTGTGTGTGTGTGTGTGTGTGTGTGTGTGTGTGTGTGTGTGTGTGTGTGTGTGTGTGTGTGTGTGGTGTGTGTGTGTGTGTGTGTGTGTGTGTGTGTGTGTGTGTGTGTGTGTGTGTGTGTGTGTGTGTGTGTGTGTGTGTGTGTGTGTGTGTGTGTGTGTGTGTGTGTGTGTGTGTGTGTGTGTGTGTGTGTGTGTGTGTGTGTGTGTGTGTGTGTGTGTGTGTGTGTGTGTGTGTGTGTGTGTGTGTGTGTGTGTGTGTGTGTGTGTGTGTGTTTGTCTATTTCCCCTTCCCCTTGTGTGAAATTGTTTGATTTTATCTGGAGTTTTAATTTACCGACATGGATGAAAAGGACTCAAGTGTTCCTATGGGATCAACTTCACCAGCTGTAACCACAAACTCTTCAAACGAATCAGCACCTCCTACAACCAACACATCATCTCCATCTACACCACCTACTACATCTACATTTACCTCCTCCTTAGTCCCCAAATTGGAGCTTCCACGCTTCAACGGCAAAGGTTTTTCATCATGGAGCATCCGCTTTCAACAAGCCGCCACTCTTCTTGATCTTTGGCCTATCTACATCGGCCAAAACACTCCCCCTTCAACTGCTGCACCTGATCAAGAACAGAGCAACTGGATCAAGAAAAATGCTGAAGCTTATCTCTATCTCCTCTCTTCCATTCAAGACCCCTACTCTCAACCCCTCCTCCTCGTATCAACTCAAAAGGACAGTGCCAGAGCTGCTTGGGAGCGGCTCAAACGTCTTCATCAATCTTTTTCCCAAGTGTGGAACAAGATTGTCTCTCTCCGCATGAGGGAGAGTGAGTCCATCCCCGACTACTTACAACGTGGTGAAATGGTCCTTACGAAGCTACACTTCTCGACATTGAGGTCCCGGAATCTCTCTTCATCACCATTCTTCTAGCCGGATTTTAATCTGGATGGAGCACTAAGAGAAGCACCATTCAAGCCTTTCCTGAGGAGACAAGGACCCGAGATTTCATCTTCAACACGCTCATCACCGAACATCAGACAAGAGAACTTGCAAAGCTTCAGAGAAATCCTGGACCAGCATGGAGTGGAATGACAAGTTCCAACTATCGCCCTCAACAAAGTGTTCAACAACAGAGCAAGTTTCAGCAAGGTAAGTCCTCTCAAACCCCAACACACTCTCTCCTTGGACAACCCACACCAAGTCATATTTCTCAGCTTGCATCGTACTCTAATCATATTCCTTATAAGCCAAAGTCAAGGTATCAATTTGAGTGTCATTATTGTCATAAATGGGGACATCCTTGGTTCAAGTGCAACATACGTCCTGCGAACTGGACACCACCTTCATCTCTGCTTTCTGACAAAGGAAGGGCTGCCATTGCTATTACATCCCATACCCCTCCAGAAAATCAACCAGACAGTGCGCATCATGGGCCATTCTTTCAAAATTCTTCCCAAGTCTCATCTCAAAACCATGTCTCTGCTTCCTCTATGCCACAACCTCACACACCAGAGGCGCCTCTTCAAGCCACCATAGGAGTCGTTTCATATGAGAGAGAGACTCTACTCAATCGAATGCACCGAGTTTCGCATTTGCATCATCCTCTTGTCTCCATGCATTTACACAGGATCCCAAGAATTGGTTTTTGGACAGCGGATGTGATCAACATTTGACCCCTCATGCCTCCCTCCTTCACAGCCTCAAGCCCTCCAATGTGAAAGAAGTGGTTGTTGCCAGCAACCATTCGGTGCCAGTTCAAGCAAAGGGAACAATGACATTTCTCAGTCCTGAGGGAATTCATATGTCATTCTCAGGCATTTTACTTGTCCCCTCACTAGGGGCGAACCTTCTCTCAATTGGTCAAATGGAAGAGAAAGTTATTTCCATCTCTTTCTCAGATGGTTCTGTGCAGGTTCGTGCTCCAACTGGGGATCACATTGCAAGAGGTGTTCGTAATGGACGTCTCTATCGAGTGGAGATTGATGCACAGCCACCTGCCAAGCCCTACAGCAGTCCCTCAGTTGCTGCTACCACCACCTCAGTAAGACTTCATCTTGGTACATCTGCATCTCCTTACACCTGGCATTGTCGTTACGGTCACCCTGAAGAGTCTAGCATCACACGCATGCAAGCACATGCAAGTGTTGATGGTCTTATCATCTCCAAGCAGTTGTCATCATCTCAGTCATTGTGCCATACTTGTGTTGAGGCTAAGCTTCCTCGTCATCCTTTCTATTCTTCTGAGTCTGAAGTCTCTCAACCGCTTGAGCTCATTCATAGTGACCTGATGGGTCCTTCCCGTACACCAAGTCGTACTGGGAAAAGATATGTAATGTCACTCATTGACCATCATACAAAATTTGCTTGGATCTCTCTTCTTGGATCTAAAGATGAAGCTCCCGGTGTTATCCAGTCCTGGTTTCCTTATATTGAGCGTCAGTTGGGTCTCAAGGTCAAATTTTTTCGTTCTGATCGTGGAGGAGAGTACATGTCTAACTCTTTCCGCTCTTTTCTTGCCAACCTTGGAGTTGAACAGCAATTGTCATGCACAGCAACACCTCAACAAAATGGTACTGCTGAGGGGTGTTTGATGTGCACTGAACCATTGTGGTCACCCTCTTCATCTTCTGCCTTGCCTCCTACCCCCCCTGTACTCTCTCCACCAGGCCGCTCTGCCATCAAGGCTATCGAGCTGCTGCTGCACCGAGGGGTGTTTGATGTGCACTGAACCATTGTGGTCACCCTCTTCATCCTCTGCCTTGCCTCCTACCCCCCCTGTACTCTCTCCACCATGCCACTCTGCCATCAAGGCTATCGAGCTGCTGCTGCACCAAGGGGTGTTTGATGTGCAATGAACCATTGTGGTCACCCTCTTCATCCTCTGCCTTGCCTCCTACCCCCCCTGTACTCTCTCCACCAGGCCGCTCTGCCATCAAGGCTATCGAGCTGCTGCTGCACCGAGGGGTGCCTGAGGAGCGAATCGTCTTCCTCAACCTCATCTCGGTAAGTTCATGATTAGAAGGGGGGCAGAGTGGTAATAAGTGGTGCAGAGAGCGGCTACCCCAGCTGCTGCTGCACCGAGGGGTGCTTGAGGAGCGAATCATCTTCCTCAACCTCATTTCGGTGAGTTCATGATTAGAAGGGGTGCAGAGCGGTAATCAGTGGTGCAGAGAGCCGCTACCCCAGGCGCTACTGCACCGAGGGGTTCTTGAGGAGCGAATCATATTCCTCAACTCATTCCAGTGAGTTTATGAGGAGCGCAGAGCGGTATTTAGTGGTGCAGGATATTATCAGCTGGGTTATTCTTCATCCGAGCTGCTGCTGCAACCGAAGGGTGCCTGACGAGCAAATCATTTTCCTCAACCTCATCTCGGTGAGCTCATGACTTCAAGGGATTAAGAACGGTACTTGGTGGTGAAGAGAACAACCAGTTGGGTTCTTGCTCACCACAGCTGCTGCAAGCAGGGGTGCGTGACGAGCAAAGTATGTTCTTCAACCTCACCAGTGAGTGTAATAAGCGAATTACAGAGCGGTAATTAGTGGTGAAGAGGGTTATCATCTTGGACATTCCTTACACCTGCTCCCTTTCTATCTTCCCTGCTCTAACCTCCCTCCCCCAGGCCCCTGAGGGCATTCACAAAGTGTGTCGGTGCTTCCACCACCTCATCAGTTCATTACCATGTTCCATCTTTCACCTTACCTTCCCCCCCATGCTCCTTCGCACCCATCCTTCCCTCCCCCAAGCCCAAGAGGGCATTCACAAAGTGTGTCGGTGCTTCCACCACCTCAAGATCGCCATGCCTTCCCATTTACCTTTCCTGCTCCCACCCACCCTTCTCTCTGCTCCTTCTTCGCCTGTTGCAAACCTCCATCCTCCCGCCAGGCACCGGAGGGCATTCACAATGTGTGCCGCCGCTTCCCCCACCTCAGCGTCCCTGTGTCTTGTTCTTTCTCTGCCCTTCCATTGCTCGCCTCCTCTTCGCGCCCCTTCCATTCCCTACACCCCACCACTCCTCCCCCCCCCCCAAGGCTCCGGAGGGCATTCACAATGTGTGCCGCCGCTTCCGCCACCTCAAGGTCCTTACTCATCTTTGTTCTTTCTCCTGCCTTCCCTGCACCCACCCATCCTTCCCTCCCCCAGCCCCATGAGGGCATTCACAATGTGTGCCGCCGCTTCCGCCACCTCAAGGTCCATACTCATCTCTGTTCTTTCTCCTGCCTTCCCTGCACCCACCCATCCTTCCCTCCCCCAGCCCCCGGAGGGCATTCACAATGTGTGCCACCGCTTCCGCCACCTCAAGGTCCATACTCATCTTTGTTCTTTCTCCTGCCTTCCCTGCACCCACCCATCCTTCCCTCCCCCAGCCCCCGGAGGGCATTCACAATGTGTGCCGCCGCTTCCGCCACCTCAAGGTCCATACTCATCTTTGTTCTTTCTCCTGCCTTCCCTGCACCCACCCATCCTTCCCTCCCCCAGCCCCCTGAGGGCATTCACAATGGTTTTGAGACGTCTCAAAAACAACCTCGCTGCACGTTGCCGCCGCTTCCCCCACCTCAAGATAGTGACATCGGAGATCGATTCGGGGTTTAATGAGGAGTATCGAGCAGGGTAGGGGTGGGGGTTTGGCGTGGGGAGTAATGAGGAGTGCAGAGTGGTGTCAGCACCTCCCTCACCTTGCGATCCCTGTGTCTTTTTTCCCTCGCCGCCCATCCATTGCTCGCCTCTACCTGTCACTGTGCCCCACCCAACCCCTCCTTCAGGCCCCGGAGGGCATTTACAACGTGTGCCGCCGCTTCCCCCACCTCAAGATCGTGACATCAGAAATCGACTCCGGGATTAACGAGGTGTACAGAGTGGTGCCAGGAATGGGGGAGTTTGGGGACCGGTACTTTGGTACAGAGGAGGGGGATGCTGGGAGGGATGATGAGAGGGATGGTGATGGTGACGCTTTTGAGGCGACTTGATGTGTGGGGAGGGGTGGGAGGTTGTTGCGGGGATTGAGGAGGAGTTGAGAGTTGTGCCTGGGATGGGGGAGTTCGGAGACAGGGATGGGGGAGTTCGGAGACAGGGATGGGGGAGTTCGGAGACAGGGATGGGGGAGTTCGGAGACAGGGATAGGGGAGTTCGGAGACAGGGATGGGGGAGTTCGGAGACAGGGATGGGGGAGTTCGGAGACAGGGATGGGGGAGTTCGGAGACGGGGATGGGGGATTTCGGAGACAGGGATGGGGGAGTTCGGAGACAGGGGGGAGTTCGGAGACACGGATGGGGGAGTTCGGAGACAGGGATGGGGGAGTTCGGAGACAGGGATGGGGGAGTTCGGAGACAGGGATGGGGGAGTTCGGAGAGAGGGATGGGGGAGTTCGGAGACAGGGATGGGGGAGTTCGGAGACGGGGATGGGGGAGTTCGAAGACAGGGATGGGGGAGTTCGGAGACAGGGGGGAGTTCGGAGACAGGGATGGGGGAGTTCGGAGATAGGGATGGGGGAGTTCAGAGACAGGGATAGGGGAGTTCGGAGACAGGGATGGGGGAGTTCGGAGACAGGAATGGGGGAGTTCGGAGACAGGGATGGGGGAGTTCGGAGACAGAAATGGGGGAGTTCGGAGACAGGAATGGGGGAGTTCGGAGACAGGTACTTTGGCACAGAGGAGGGGGATGATGGGAGGGTTGATGATGGGGATGGGGATGGGGATGGGGATGGTGATGGTGACGGTGATGGTGATGGCGATGGTGATGGCAGGCAATGCTTTTGAGCTTGGTGAGGAGCGACGAAGGAGGGGAGGGAGAGGAGAAATGTGTAGCCCTTGTTGCTTCCAATGCTGCTGTGGCTGTTAGTGCTGCCAGTGCCAGTAATACCGGTAGTCCCGGTTTTAACCATTGGGACAGCATAAACATGATTTGTTCAACAGGAAAAATAAACGAAAGTTGTTGTCCTATCATATGGTAGTAGCTTATCCATCGCTGTCAACTGGGAATGTGCTTTCCCTAAAGGCCCGCTGGTCAGTCAGACCATGTCTTGCACAGTCATACATACGTCAGGTTGAACAAACAAGAAATAAATTAACGAGCAATCAAAACCGAGCATATTATTGAAAAGCATATCACCATCTTAGGAGGTGCGATGACCAGCTGAACACTGACTGGCTGCATATAAGCGCATTAACATCTGCGATCAAACCAACAAACCTGGAGCATGAACAGAAATCCCGTCTGAACATACTTACAGTACTCACGACAAGGGAAAATCGATGACCAGACACGAGACGAGACATGCTTCCGTACTGCATCAGTGTTACTGTCGTGATGCAGAAATCGTCTCGCGCGAGAGTACTCGCGAAACTCGTTGACGTTCGCTCGTTCGTCGTCAGCTGACAGTTGTTGCCAGGTTGTCTTGTCCACATGACCAGGGGTATTCCTTCCTCTGACCAGTCAAAAACTGTCGGCGCTGTGTTGATGTAGTTTTGTCAATGTTTCCCTGCCCGACATCTACACATCAAATCCTGAAGATGAAAATTGCTGGGGGATTGTACATTCAAATTGACACTTATACTAGGGTACCAATCGGTTCAAAGGAGTTATACGTAAACAATCTCTTGTTTCGGGCAGAGCCTGAATGTCGAAACGATGTTCTTGCTGTGCTGAAAAACGACGACTTCTTTGTGAAAGAAAATTCCTCCCAATCTTTCCTGGGGTTGGTTGGTCTCCGCGGACCGCGACCCACACTGTTCAGTGGTCTGACCAGTCTGCCCCTCACACTTCCGCCTAGGCTCTGCGCAGCGCGACCTTGGCTGTGTGTGCGCCAACTGAGAATTGCTCTCAAGTCTACTGGACAAATACCTGCACGCATTCCCTCATTCACCAGCAGAACGCATTTGAGCATCCTTTTACACACGCCCTGCACTCGTAGCTTCCCTCGAAAATCGACTGTTCTTGGCGTAACTTGCTTCGATCGTCAGACACGATGACGCGCGCCGGTCTTGTCCCTCTCCTCGTCCTGCTCTTCGTCGCGCCTGGTATGCTCGTAGCTCAGAAAAACTCGTCTACTAAATTGGTCCAGTGGACGCCGACTTCCCAGCCTTCCTTGTTTGAATTAAAGTAGTTGGCCGGCGCTCCCTTTCCTTGAATGTCAGACGCGTTACTTCGGGTTTCAATGTGTCATTACGATCTTAACGCGTCAACTTGCAACATCTGATCTGTTTTTTTCTTGCGCTGCCTGCGCAGTTCTCGGTCACGGGGGTGGCGGTGGTTTCGGCGGCGGAGGCCGCGGCGGAAGGGGTCCCCACGGCCCGCCGATCGACGCGTCCGTCACCGGAAATCTCACAGGTGCGACGAGTGCACCATCTAGCACGGTTCAGTCCGCCAGATTCGTTCATCCCGTCACAATGCGATCCCGAATACATTTTTTTCTGGAATTTCCGTTCACTATTGGATGCCAAACGTGCGCTGGTCTCTTTCCGCCCCTCCCCGGAACCCCCACTCCCCCCTCCCCTTCTTCCCCCACCGCCCCCCTTCTTCCCCCTCCCTCGCCCCTTCGTACCATCCGCAGGTCGCGTGGGCGCCTGGGTCTCTAACTGCACGACGGACATCGGAGCGACTCGCGGCAAGTTCCTGCTCGCCGTCTTTAAGGACGAGTCGTCGGGCACGCCCGTCTACAACCTCTATTTCGACGCGGATCTTGACGAGTACAGCGGAACCGCGCCCGACACGATCAACATCGTGCAAGGCGCGGCGTGTGACTCCACCGCCACCGCCGCCCTCACTCTGCCGTCCACCGGCTGGACCACACAGACGCGCGGCGGGCGCGGCGGCTCGCACACGGAGCTGCGCGTGACGGGCACCGTGGAAGGCGCCGACGCGACGGTCGTCGAGGCGCTTCTCGCGGGCGTGCCGAACGCGACGGTGACGCAGAACGTGTTCACCAAGGTGATCAACGGCGCGAAGCAGGGCTTCCAGAACGCCTTCGGCGGACGCCGCCGCGGGCGCGAGCTCGCGGGGAACAGCGCGGGGAAGCTGACGCAGCAGTTCCTGAAGCGCCAGCGCCAGCGCCTCGCGTGGATGGGCGCGAAGACCAAGGCGCTGTTCGCGACGTTCATCGGGACCACCGACACCACGACTGATTCGCCGTACGCTGTCATTTTTACCGACAGCACGACCGGCAACTCCTGGAGCGCCGCGCTCACTGGGAACTTCGGCAAGTGTGGCGGTCGTGGCCGGCGTGGTGGCAACGGGCCTGACGGTGACAGCGATGGTCCTGGTGGCGCTGGTGGCCGTGGTGGCCGTGGTGGTGGCCGTGGTGGTGGCTATTAGAGTGATGCTATGAACTCAGCTGAAATGTGGGGGCGGATTTGATTCAAGCGTGGATCACGGAGAGGAGTGAAGCTAGCATGTCAGGGGAATGCGGCGTTGGGTGAGGGGGGGAATTGGGGTGGGGTTTAGAGGGGAGGGGGGAAGAGTAGGAGGTGGGGGGGGTGGGGGGGGGTCGCAGGGGGAGGGGATGCGGGGGGTTTGATCACGTGGGGTCTTCGGTCGACTTTTTGAGAAACTCGGTTATGGACGCTTCGTTATTGTCCTCTAGAGTCGACCCAAGACAACCACTTGTGTGTTTTTTTGTTGAGTGGCAGTGTTAAAGTGGGACTAAAATGAAATTTCGCTTAATACAATAGCTTGTTCACATTCTGGTATTCCAAGCGGCAGAATGCTCCAATGTTCCACTTGGACGCAAACATATGATAAAATAATCATGTTAATGTTTCAATCGCATAGAGAGATTAACACATCAGCCTCTCACTGCTGCTTAGCTTTACTGAACCTCACCAGAAGCAGAAACGTAACCAACCGTACAAACACCCCAAAACCCAGCAGCACCGCAACATTCTCCCACATGTCGAGCTGATTCACCGCCAGTGTAGTCGTTAGCAGCTGAGGCCCGTCCCGCAAACATGTGCTTGTAGTGATTTTGCTATAAGGAGTACCAGCCAGCACCTGCCGCATCCCCACCATGGCCTTATTGATTCTGGTTGCATTTAAATACGGCGCCACGGGTGTATTATCAAACATTGTGCCAGCTTCCAAGTAACAGGGTCCTCCGGGCCTGGTGGGGTGATGATTCAGGAGAGAAATGGAGATTGGGGATTGGTGCTGAGGAGTGGGAGACGGTGGGGAAAGATGGTGGGGAGTGGGAGATGGTGGGGAAAGATAGTGAAGAAGTGGGAGATGGCGAGAAGTGATGCCCACATCATTCCACCCATACTCATGTCCCCAGCAAAAGGGTGCCGATTTCTCACCTGCCAAACTTGGTTGATCGTCAGCGCTTCATAAGCATACTTCATGGGCGAGAGGTAGTGCAGCCAGACCCAGCCGTCCGGGATGCCATTCCACTGCATGCAGTGTCACCCTCAGCATACAGGTTAAACCCACTCCTCACCTGCCAAACTCGTTGATCAGGGACGTCGCTAGGATCTGAGGCAGCCTGATGGAGCAGACGGGCCCTTCGGGCCCGTCTGCTTCATCAGTGGGCTGAGTGATGCCCTGTCTGGTGGATCAGGATTTTCCAAAATCTCTGTCTAATCTGTCAGATCTTAAAGCACTGGCTTGTCAGGTTTTTTTTTTTTTTTTTTTGGGTTGCATTGCATCAACTCTGGCAGAAGTTAAAGCTTCATCAATACTACGGTAAAAGAACTATCAAATAAAAAATTATGTAACTACTGGTGAGGTGTTATTACACTACAAATTACATCTACTCTAGTCTAGTCTACTCAGTGTCAGACTCTACTATCGTGGCGCGGACATCAAGCCAATTGTCATCATCACTGTCGTCCGACACTGCTACAGCTGCACGTGCTTTGCCCTTCTTAGAGGTCCTCCGCCTGACCACGTCCTCCTCATCATCTTCGTCTTCATTGGAGGCAGCAGCTGACGTTCCTCTCTCGGCCTTCCGCTTTGGGGCTCTCTCTGGAGTGTTCTTCTTGGTCGTCACTTCCTTAGCAGGGCGCCTCTTCTTTGCCCCCCTCCAAGCAGCCACCACGTCCTCCCAGTTCGGCTCGTACTGCAGGAGCGATACCGACATCAGGTCCGCCAGGCGTGTGTTGCACAGATTCCCGCGGAGCCACGATTTGATGATGTTTTGCCTCGAGAAGCCGCGCTCGCACTCGACGGTGCTCAGCGGCAGCACAGCGAGGGCGATCCAGATGCGGACCATGTTGGGGTAGCTCGTCTCCCAGTCGTCGCTGCGCAACATGTGCTTGAGGCCGGCGTGGAAGGTCTGGTCCTTGTACTGCGAGGCCATCATCTTGGTAAACGGCACCAGTTCTCGTCCCGCCTTTTTCCAGCTCACTCCTGCTCACGCACAATTGCAAGTACAAGAGGGGCGGGGGCCAACGGGGAGATAAGTCAGTGGCGGTACCATATCACCAAGCGTGTAACATTGATGCACAAAAGAGACGCACAGATTACCTGGAAGTACGCACTTCTCCGCACTGAACAGCGTGCGGAGAGACTGGAACCAGGCTTGGCAGAGGCGGTCTCTCTTCGCGCTTCCCTCGGGGTACGCGTCAGGCAGGAAAAGCTTCGCTCCGGTGAGGGTGTCTAGGCTCTCCATCCGCTTCAGGAGGTGCTTCACAACTTCCTGCGCAAACAGGCGGGTTACAGTGATGCATGATTCTATGTCGCCTTTTGACTTCTGTCCCTTGATGGCGTCCTCGTGCAGCATGAAAGTGTGTTTAACGGGACTTCCCTCCCCATCCATGCCTTCGACCGTCACCTCCCGCTTGTCCAACGCTCCGTGCTTCTCCATGAACTCGGTGAGCAACTCGCTATCCTCAGCGTAGTTGACGCCGTGCTCGATGTATCGCTGCTTTAGCTTGTCGCACGTGTTGTGGACCATTGATGTC